TCCAGTTCATAATCAAGCCTTGGTGACTGTATGACTTTATTAGAGGAGGGATTAGATTAATAATTTTGTACCACTGATTATAGAAAAACATGATGGTAAAAAATATCATAAAGATTTTCTTTTCACAAAAACTACTCACAAAGGTATGTTATTTGTGTCAACAATAAATTTATCCTTGTAACCTCTTTATCTTAACTATTGTTTCCTAAGTTTTGATATACATTCAGTATCTTTTTTTCTAATTCCATATTCTAAATTTCTATTTTTTTTCCCAAGGTTGTTTGATATTTAGTCACTATATCAATACTCTTAGCCTTTCATTCTATTATTTTTGCCTGGTTATCTTACTATTTAATTATTTTTTATCATGTTAAAAAGACTTATCTTTTGTTACTTCTGTGCAGTCCATATATTCTTGTCTTGTCTCTCTACACCTATTTTGCTTGCATATTTATGTTATCTATATTCAGCAGTATTTTTCTGTAAGTTAATCTATCCATTTCTCTTTATATCTAGCTTAGAGAGTATTTTTATATACATTCCTCATCATTAAGGTTTATATGAATTCCTTTTTCTCTGTATGCTCTTCTGATGACAACTTTTCAAAACAAAAATCAGATAAAAGAAAAATCAGATAAAAGGCATTGTCCTTGAAACTGTGCACACAATGATGTAATATTCCTTTATCATTATGTGTTATTGCCCCAGGGAGATTATTATGTATCACTGTTACACTTATGTATAGGAGTAGGATTATATAATAGGAGTATTATGTGACAATGGACATAGAAAGAGAGAATTATGTATGTGTTGATGGAAGATGCTATTCACATGCAACACATGCATTACTACACTCTTCTAGCACTGTATACATTCATTGTGTTGATCAAGCTATACTAAATTAGTAAATCACTTTCTACAAAATAGTTAAATAGAGCAGTCTGGATAGCTTTTAAGAGATACATCTTTTAAGAGATTCATCTTGTTGAAAGTATCTTATGATATTCAGAATTTAAAAAAAAATATAGAATTATTAGTGTCATTGAGTTTGGTCAAAAGTTTGAAGCAGATAGTGAAAATGACATACAATAAATACTGAAACTCAAAAAATCAAATTGTTTTATCAAGAATTTCTTTAAACATACAGCAAAATAGTCTTAAGGGCATATATAGTATGGCTTTACAAGACATAGTACATTAGCTTCAGATTTTTTCAGATACACAGTGAAATTATAAACTATCATGAGGGGGAAATACAAAGCACAATTTCCTGCATTTACACACTTTACAGCTTAAATTTTTGGTATAAACTTTATCTATATTTCACTTTTTTTCATTCCAAATGAAGGAATAGAATATTGCTTATATGAAATTGGAGCTCTCAGTTATGTGTAATGAATTATGCAAACCAGTGTATTATGTAATAATTCAGTCAGATTTAGTTCATGAAATTTATTTTATATGTTGTATTGTTAATGTAATATAACCACCAGGTTGGCCAAATGCATATAATTTACATGTTCAGGAAGTGATACAAAAGTGTATAATATATCTGTAAATTAGAGAAAGGTGTGTGTGTGTGTGTGTGTGTGTGTGTGTGTGTATATATATATATATATATATATATATATATATATATATATATATATATATATATATATATATATATATATATATATATATATATATGTATATAAATATATATATATATATATATATATATATATATATATATATATATATATATATATATATATATATATATATAAATATATATATATATATATATATATATATATATATATATATATATATATATATATATATGTATATACATATATATATATATATATATATATATATATATATATATATATATATATATATATATATATATATATATATATATAGGAATAAATAACTTCACAGTTCAGGAAAAGCTTTTAATTGACTATTCATCAGAATTATAGAATTTAATCAAATCAGTTTTGTCTCACATTGTGTATTCATGTTTATATTTCTTGCACATTTCCACAATAAACCTTTCTTGAATCTGTGAGTGTATTTTTGATAAAACTGGCACCATAGAAACTTTTCCCCTTTAAAGAAAAAATGGAATGGAATGGAGTATTTTTTTTATGAATTTAATGGTGTATATAGATGTTTTGGAACTGAGAAATTGTCATGATAAGTTCCATACATTTACCAGGATTAGACTCGTTACCTTTCACTGACAATTTAATTCATGAGATTTCAGAAAATAGCATGAGCTCCATCCATCGATGATTTTTCAAAATGTTTCATCAGTTGAGCTAATAGACACATTTAGCCAGTTATATTATTCATATTTACAAATAGAGCAGTGAATGGGCAAACAAAAAAAAATACATGTACCTAAAGAATTAGGAAAATAGATATTCTATTTATTTGTGTATTCATATATTTGTCTGTCTATTACTTATTATTTTCTATAAAGTCTAAGTTATTCTATAACTCAGAT